AGTAACAGAATTAAGGTTTCCATTTATCCACATAAGAGCAGAGTGCAGGAAGCCTTAAGGGAAATGCTTTCTTTGTATTAAATTTCAACACAACACGGAACAATCTTAGAACCACTAAAAGTTTTGTAATAGGTTTAAATGTATATAGAGAAATACTGGCTGAAAGAGAAAGAAACCTTCTCATTTCCACTTTTTTAACTCTGACATGATGTGATTAAATCCTTTTTCACCCACATGCATAATAATAATAATAAATAATAAATAAATTAATAATAATAATAATAATAATAATAATAATAATAATAATAATTGTTATTTTATTATTTATACCCTGCCCATCTGGCTGGGTTTCCCTAGCCACTTTTATGCAAAATCTGAACTGATGCAAAAAGGGGGGGGGACAGTATTGTTAGAAACAAAATATCCAGTGCAATGTAATGAAAACTGAACATCTGAACATCTTGAGTCACAATCTACAAAACCTGTTGTCGTCAGGGCTGGTAGCAGGCAGCAGCAGAGATGGACAAATTGGACAATTTCTGTTTCTCAATCTTAAATCTCAAGTTCTCGATAATTCTGCGTCAGTTTGCAAGACCTCCTAAAAACAAATGAAAATGAAACCACCGGTTCCTGATTTGCAGAGTGTGTCATTTTGTTTTTGGCTGAACTTAGTGTATGGTCAGCTGTTGCAACAAATGGAAAATCCATAGAAGGTTTTGACAGTCTTGCCTGGCCCTCTTACATCTGGCCATGAGTGGTGCTAATGGAATGACAAGTCTGTTTTGCATTACCCACCCTCTACCTTACAGGCACTACATTTGCCCTGATGGTAGCAGACAGAAAGAGGTGCCTTGTAAACTGGCCCTCATATTTACTGATTGAAGGTGTGGGTTGAACTATGTTAACACAACAAATGCTTAGGGCAAAAAGGAGCCCTGCTTAAGGTCCACTGATCTCAGGGGGAAATAACCTGAGCAGTGGTTCAACTCACTCTTTTGATGCACTTGATCTTAAGCACAAAGTCTCTTAAGACTTGGCTAGCTCATAACATTAATTTTGTTTCTGGAGTGAAACAACTAGTAGCAGTGCAATCCTGTTCATGGTTACTCCAAATGAAGTCCCACTATATTCAATGGGACTTACTCCAAGGTTGATGTGTACGTCCTCTCCAACATTCCACAAATGAAAATTGACTGTGGCACTGGTGAGGGAAATAGGGACATTCCAGGATCAAATCAGAAGCTGGGATGGCTTCTGTAATTTTGGGACTGTCCCTGGAAAATATGGGCACTTGAGAGGGGGGTGTATAGTTTTCCCCCCTAATCACACAATTCCACACTTGTCTACTTAGAGTCTTAAAAGAAAGCCTGAGTTCCACTGGACTTATTCCTAGGTAACTGTGGTCAGGACTGCAGCTTAAATGTTACACAATTTAAGTCAAACCTCACAGGTATTATAGTAACACTGGGACAGGGAATCTGGGGCCCTCTGGATGTTGTTGGACTACAACTCCCATCATCCCTGAATAGTGGGCATGCTGTCTGGGGCTGATGGGAGATGGAGTCCAAAAACACCTGAAGGGAGCCAAGTTTCTCATCCCTGCATTGAAAGGAAGTCCAGCTCCCATCATGCTATGCAGCAGCAAAAGAAAGAAAGAAAGAAAGAAAGAAAGAAAGAAAGGAAGGAAGGAAGGAAGGAAGGAAGGAAGGAAGGAAGGAAGGAAGGGGGGAGGGAGGGAAAAAAGGAAAACAGTCTTCAAATTAATAAAGATTTTCCGGGTGAGCAATTTATGGATCACGGTCAGAACACTTAAGCTTTTTCCAGCAAGGGCCACTTTTCAAAGGAAAAACTTAATGCAAATCGTTTAAAATAATGTTATGTAAATAACCAAGAAGACTGGCTGTGGTTTCAGCTGTCGTACTCTGTAATTTCCTCTGAAAGTCTCCCCTCCCCCTCCTTTCTTATTCCTTTAAAAAAAAACCCACCGTACACACCACTGTTTAGAGTTCAGTGTAACCTCATTATGTCTCCTTGGCACTCTCTCCAGCAGAGGCAACAGCTGCATAACTCTGATAAACTTGAGAAAGGCTGAAAAGACATGATGTAGCTTGAGGCCGAGCAGACTGCTTACAGCAGAGATGCTCCCCCTTGGCAACCGCTTGCCGCTGTTAAATCTTACCCCGGATCTTGCAATGTACAAATGCACTTAACAGCCATTACATGCGGCGGGACGAGCAAGTCTCTTGGAGATACGCTGGCGTGTGGGAAGACAGAGAGGCTGCTTGTCACAGCTACACCTTCAGAAAGACGGAAGCACAGCCAGTGCCCAGAGTACAAAGCCAATGAATGGGCAAAGGCAAATCCTAACCCACCATGCAGATTTTTGCACAAATTGCAAATTTTTAACACCCTTCTCCTAAACAGTTGCGCGTTATCACTCTGCAGCACCCTCAAAACATGGTGGATTGTACGGCTGCTGATTAACAACAATGGCAATAAACTACTAACTAAATTTATATGCTTCACTTCCTCTCACAGGATCCTGGAGGACAAATACCAAAGTGTAAGTGTTCCTCAGTTCTAAATAATAGTGTACTGGTATACTTTAAACCATAGGGACGCGGGTGGCGCTGTGGGTAAAAGCCTCAGCGCCTAGGGCTTGCCGATCGAAAGGTCGGCGGTTCGAATCCCCGCGGTGGGGTGCACTCCCGTTGCTCGGTCCCAGCGCCTGCCAACCTAGCAGTTCGAAAGCACGTCAAAGTGCAAGTAGATAAATAGGGACCGCTTACTGGCGGGAAGGTAAACGGCGTTTCTGTGTGCTGCGCTGGCTCGCCAGATGCAGCTTTGTCACGCTGGCCACGTGACCCGGAAGTGTCTGCGGACAGCGCTGGCTCCCGGCCTCTTGAGTGAGATGGGCGCACAACCCTAGAGTCTGGCAAGACTGGCCCGTACGGGCAGGGGTACCTTTACCTTTATACTTTAAACCATATTCAGGTGCTCGTGATGGGGCTTAACATGTGTGCACAAATCTGCTAGCACATACCCCATCGCCATTCACATCAATATTCACTCATCACATGCTTAAGGGCAACTCTCTGCAGTGAAGAAGCCAGAGCCGTCTCTCCTATCGAGCTCACTGGCGCGTTGCGCCAGGGCGCCGGCCTCTCAGGGGCGCCCCAGCGAGTGGGGGAGCTGCGCAGCTTTGCCGGCAGCCTCCCCTTTCCCTGCACGCCTGCCAGCTGTGCCCTGTCAACAATATGGCTGGCGGGCATGCAGCTTGCCTCCCAAGCCTCCATGGGAGGAGAGTGATAACAAATAATAATAATAATAATAATAATTTATTTATTTATATCCCGCCCTCCCCAGCCGAAGCCGGACTCAGAGTGGCTAACTACAATAAAAGTAACACAGTTTACATGAACTCACAATCAATTAATTGAAATGCATTCTAAAATCAATTCAAAATCAAATTAATGGCAACCATTGGGATAGAGTTGGGATAGAACCATTGGGATCCCCCCCCCCACAGAGGCTTGGGAAAAGGTCGACAACTCTGAGAAATGGGGGGGGGGCACCAGAGGGATCTTTGGCCCTCCTCTTGGACTCACGATAGCTTTTGTGTGTTTTAGAGCCCTGGAAAAATCAGGCTTCCCAAATGCATAGGTGCCTCTCTGAACACAGGAAGCTACCCACCGCACCCACAGCGAAAAGCCACCTTCAAATACATGGAGGGTGATGGGAATTATTGCTTATCCTCATGTGCTTCATCAAGCCCATCGTGAGCACCTGACTAGGAATTGAGGCATTCCAGTTTTCAGCCAGTGCTAGTCCTACTCAGAGTAGGCCCACTGGAAATAATTTCAATGCACCCAGGCCCCTCTTTGCCTGGCTCTCTCCATATACACTGCCCGGAAGCAACTCTCCAAGGACTTTCACCAGTACTGTAAACTGAGATCCTATTAACTGGAGATGCTCAGAGATTCGACAGTCCTGCTCACTGCTCAGATGTAACAGGAAACTGTGGTTTAAACAAACCACACTACTACTGCCATTGCTGGTGCATGAAGGTAAGTGAGGCAGCTCACTCTCAAATAAGTCATAGTTTCACTCATCTATTATCACATCATTTCTTAATTTGAGTTATTTGTTGTTCTAAAATGAGTGCTTTTGAATAAGGCCACTTATACATGTTTCTGAGAAGCATCCATGGTGATGTCAAAGTGAATCATCAGAAAAAAGAATAATAGAAGTCAGGACTTGGAACAAAAACAAAAACAGGTAGCTACTTTATGTTGACTCGATACAGCAACTAGGGTTAACAGAGACTGCCGTGAAGTGTGCGCATTTCAGATTAATGGTCAAAAGGTTCCTCTTTTGCTGTTCAATTCTTCCGTGGTGGAACATTTAAAGTAACAGCTCTTATCAGCAAGTGTTTATAAGAGCCTTAAGAAAAAGTCTGCATAGATTTTTAAGGTCATTTTGACCCAGGGGAAATATTAGACAGCAAGATTTTGGGTGTAATCTAATTTATATTTCTAAGTGGCCAGCTGTTGAGAAGTCAGTGTGTTTCGTGGCATCTTGAAAATATGAGTTTAGAGAAAGACAAAAAGGCATTTCCCAGACTGAACAGGTAGAGGAGTGCCTATTTACTGCTCAAGATGTCTTGCTGACATATTAGATCATAGGTAAAGGTACCCCTGCCCGTACGGGCCAGTCTTGCCAGACTCTAGGGTTGTGCGCCCATCTCACTCAAGAGGCCGGGGGCCAGCGTGAGACACTTCCGGGTCACATGGCCAGCGTGACAAGCTGCATCTGGTGAGCCAGAGCCGCACACGGAAACGCTGTTTCCCTTCCCGCTGGTAAGCGGTCCCTATTTATCTACTTGCACCCAGGGGTGCTTTCGAACTGCTAGGTTGGCAGGCGCTGGGACCGAACAACGGGAGCGCACCCCACCGCGGGGATTCGAACCACCGACCTTTCGATCGGCAAGCCCTAGGCGCTGAGGCTTTTACCCACAGCGCCACCCGCGTCCCCCCCCCACAAATTATGCAGTCGAGTTTCCCGCATTTGGGGAAATCACAGGGGTCAGCACACCCGCAGTGCAATGGATGAGCCTCACCCTGGGAAAACCTCCTTCATGATCAAGGTGTCTCCCCTGCCAGGTAAGTATTAGATCATACTCAGTATTAAACTATCTTAGGCTGCAGCCTTTAATGTGGCAGGAGGGAGCCCCCATACCCAACCACCCCCCAAGGCTAAGTCCAGCACAGGTGCAATTTTCATTGGGATCATGGCTGGGGAGGGGAGGTATAGACGTCCCCCTCCCTATATCCTGTGAACCTAATGAAAATCAGGGTGCTCTATGCCTGGTGTTCTCTTTTTAAAGAAAATCCAGGTGTGGTTGCTAACCACACAATTATAACAAATATTTGTCCCTGAGCTGCAGTGACAATAAGAGAGGAGTGGGGAGTCCCCAGTGGAGGAAAAAATAGTAAGAGGAAACCCTCTAATGTTTTGATTACGATCTTTGTCAAGGGGATGGTCAAATAAATTAATAATAATAATAATAATAATACATTTTATTTATACCCCACCCTCCCCAGCCAAGGCTGGGCTCAGGGCGGCTAACAAGCAATAATAAAAACAAGTTGAATGAATACAACTTAAAAACAAGATTAAAATACAACACTGAAACACTGAAACATTAAAATAACATTTTCCATGGCTTTCTGGGTGCTTCTAGGTAGGCGTGTGTGTGTGTGTGTGTGTGTGTGTGTGTGTGTGTTTGCAGAATCCACACAATGTCACTCACATCAGTATGCCTCCCCCTCCCCCCTTTATGAAGCTCTACCCTTTTTGTGAAAAATCTAATAAGTGGGCAAGGGGAAAGGACACCCCATTGCAATGAACCATTCATGATAACTTGATGACCCAACTGAAAACTAAGCGCCTGCTACACATGCTCTGGAATTCCTTTGTAACTGGAGAACTGGAGAACATTTCGATTGGTAATGCATTGAGCTAAATGAATTGCCATTTAGAATGGGGCTCGTCAAATTAGCACCTTCCACGTGTTGTTGGGCTCCAAATCCCATCAGCTTCAGCCGACATAGCATTATGGGAGCTGTAGTCCATCAACATCTAGAAGACTGCAGGTTCCCCATCCATGCCTCAAGGGTTCTCTCTTATCTTTCCTATGGTAGTAACAATATACAGTGGTACCTCTGGTTACAAACTTAATTCGTTCTGGAGGTCCGTTCTTAACCTGAAACTGCTCTTAACCTGAGGTACCACTTTAGCTAATGGGGCCTCCAGCTGCCACTGCGCCTCCGCCGTGCAATTTCTGTTCTCATCCTGAAACAAAGTTCTTAACCCGAGGTACTATTTCAGGGTTAGCAGAGTCTGTAACCTGACGCGTCTGTAACCCGAGGTACCACTGTATTGGTACTATTTCCCGAGATGTGAATGTGTGGATGGGGAAATGTGGAATCTCATTCACTGGACCACCCCTTTTTTTTGCCCTTGCCTTAAACTGAAGCTCTGAACACACCCTGTTAAAATACAAGTGGCACATACATGATCAGCTCTTCTGATCATTGGGAGATAGGCGGTACAATCCCACTTCTCTCCCACATCCCACATCCACAGGTAAGTTGTCTCCTCCTGTCAGCATTTCTAAGTGCTATACAGAGAAGAAAATCAGCATCTTGCCCTCTGGGCCCTCTTTTGAACTCCTGTACTGGCCAGCATTACAACAAATAATTAATTCTGTGGCTAGAAGAAGAAAAATAGACTTGCTCCGGTCTAACAGCGGAGCCCTGTGCCATGTGGGAAATCTGTTTTTTGTTTGTTTGTTTGTTTTGAAATGAAGGGAAATGGCTAAAAGTAGTTCGCGACCTGGCACAGGGCCAGGATTCGTGGGAGGGCAGGAAGATGAGCAACTGTGCTAGGCAAGTGTAAGCCTGAGGCTGCAGTACTATGCCCTCTCTGGTGGGATTAAGCTCAATTGAACTGAATGGACTTTACTTCTGAGAAAGACGGGCATAAGAATAAGCTGTTAGTAGCTTTCTGGATCCTAGCCAGTATTGCTGAGCACTCCCATTAGCTAAGCACAAGCTCTGTGAACGGAAGCAATGTTTATTTTTCTGGACAGCAAAATAGGCGGTGGTAGAAGGAGGAGGGGTGTGTGTGTCTCTCCACTCTTACTGGCACGCCAGCGAGAGATTTAGAAATAAATAAAGAAATAAGCCAGTTTGTCATTAATGGAGCTGGTACAAGTCACAACACTGCACCCCAATAGCGGGAAATTGGGCTCCTAATTCCCAGCGGCAGAATTCCAATCAACCAGCAGGAAACTGGGGAATATGGTCATTTTTTATTTATTTCATAAACATGGCACTAAATTAGACGATTCCAGGGGGACAATTAGAAACAAGCCATATTACTTTTCTTTCCATGTAAAGCCCATTAAGCTTATTACACAAATTCCTTCAAGGCTTTAGGAGCAGAGCCTGCACTTGATAGACTAAGGAACTTTTCCTCCCAAAGCCGTTTACTCTGTTTTAATGAGGCTTGCGAGCTCAGAGAGTTTGATTAGCCTGATGGGGCTTTTTTTCATAGCTTTCCCATTAGCAATTTTATCAGGAGATGAGAGCTACTAGTCACAGGCCGGCCTAATCATTGACAGACAGAGAGGCCGGCAGGTTGCTTCGAGCGCAGGACTGGGATTCAAGAGGATGCGGGCATTATTTCTAGCCACAGCACACCCAGAGCGAGCTGTTCCTAGTGAGATATGCTCCAAATTGCACCTCTGAAGGGCAATACAATAGTAATTATAATCTCTCACACAGACTCAGGGAGGAGGCTCCTAAGGGAAGGTTGCCCATTGAGTGGTAGCTAATGAAAGGCATCAACAGCAAGTGTTCCTTGAGGAGTGGAAGATGGGCGGAGCAATTAGAGATTCCACGTCGCCTGTGGCCTGCCCTTCCGAAAGGAGCTGGGCTTGAGCATCCACGCGGTTCCATGTTGACATTTTTGATCACAGTTCCAAATGGAGGTTTTAATTTAATCAGCTGTAGGTCACTTGGGCTCATGTGGAAGGAATGCTGGTTATAGCAGTGCAGGGAGGGTGGGTGTTGTGGCACCCAGTTCCTACTTGAGGACTTCCCATAGGCATCTGGCCGGCCACTGGGGGAACAGGATGCTGGGCTAGATGGGCCTTTGCCCTGATCCACTAGGGCTCTTCCTCTGAGTCATAGGCGGAGCCAGTGTGGTGTAGTGGTTAAGAGCAGTGGACTCGTAATCTGGGGAACCGGGTTCGCGTCTCCGCTCCTCCACATGCAGCTGCTGGGTGACCTTGGGCCAGTCACACTTCTCTGAACCCTCCTCTTCTTCTTCTTCTTCTTCTTCTTCTTCTTCTTCTTCTTCTTCTTCTTCTTCTTCGGGGCTCAACTGAACGATGGGAGAGCTTGGAAAATAAAGCATGCAAAATAAAGTCTGCCTTAAAAGCATACTGGATGATCACTTCTAGAAGGTTAAATCAACCTTGTCTTGGAAGCCAAGTTTAAAGTTGCAAAGGATGGTAACTCGGCTGATCTCATTCACGTGAGCAAGGAATAATAATATATCCTCTCCTAGTGTCTAAATCCAGTATATCTGCCCTCCCACTTGTATTTACTCATTAGATGGTGCACGTTAGTACTGCTTACTGGGTTACCTTGGGCCAGTGACTGCCACTTACCCAAACCTACCTCACAGGGTTGTTGTGGGAAATTAAATGAGGAGGGGAAGAACCAGGTTCGCCACCTTGAGCTCCTTGGAGAAACAAGTGGGCTGTAAAAGCAACAAGGCAATTTTGTTCTAAAACTGCTTTTCTTGCACACCTTTACCCTGACACCTGAGATGTATATTCTTAGCATACACTGTGACTGTAAGATGCTTTAAGCTGCTTTGAATATTGCGTTTTAATCCTTGTAACCTGCCCTGGGACCTCAGGATGAAGGGAGGGTAAAGAATAGCGGTAATAATCAGTCAATCAAATCAATCAATCAATCAATCAATCAATCAATCTCTAACCAGGACTGTTTGCAGACATTAGCACTATTCTGAGTAATGTTTAAAACCAAATCCCTAATAGTGGTTAAGACACATTTTGTGAACCCAGCCAAATAATCATTGGAATTCAGACTGTGTGGTCTCTTCTCCTGATATTGTGTAAATGGTACTGATTTATACCCAAAAATTACATTCAGAATTACACAGTAGAAATAGCCAGCTTTTCACACCAAAGCATAATCTTTAAAACAGCTTTGGTACAATTACTTTAAAAAAAAAATCTATTTCCTTCATGCAGGGCATTATTCACAATCTGCTTCTTTCACACACACACACACACACACACACACATCTATATCTCCCAGGGAGGTGGTAGGCAGGGACAAAAAGAACAATAGTCAAACACATAATAACAAGTTTGGAATAACAAGTCATTCACTGAGCTCAGGGACAAAGAAATCAGCCACAGGTATCCTTCTCTTCAAGTTTCAGTAAGCTCTGGTTATGATATTACATTGGACTGAATTATTTCATGGAAGCAGGAAGGAAAATGATGGTGATCAAGGCAAAAACAAGAGACACCAATAACTAGAAATGACCCCCCCCCCGGCACACAACCACACACCACAGAGCTGCAGATGGAGGGGAGGGTGAAACTAATAAAAGCACGATCATTTCCTCAAATAGAGTGTTACATTAGGAAATGCTTTGTAATTCTTGGGAAGACAGGCAAACTAATGCCAGTGTACTGAAAGAAGCAAAGATCACCAGTGTTGAAGCAATGATTCTTCAACATCAACTTCGTTGGACTGGTCATGTTGTGTGGGTGCCTGATTATTGCCTTCCAAAGCAACTACTCTATTCCGAACTTAAAAATGGAAAGCGCAATGCTGGTGGTCAACAAAAAAGGTTTAAATACTTTCTCAAGGCAAATCTTTTTTAAAATGTAGTATAAACACCAACAATTGGGAAACACTGGTCTGCAAGCACTCCAATTGGAGAACAGCCTTTACCAAAGGTGTAATGGACTTTGAAGACGCTCAAACTCAGGACGAAAGGGAGAAATGTGCTAAGAGGAAGGCATATTTGGCAAACCCTTACAGTGATCAACTCCCA